CAGGATCAGGAGGCCGACATGCACGTCGGAGGTCCTAACTCCTAAGGGCACTATCGCTGGTCCCTCATCCAATTCCGCCAACCCAATCTCACGACCGGTCTGTAGTAAATTTTTGCTGTTTTGGCTCTCTCTCTCTCTCTCTACGAATCAATGGTTTATGTTTAACTTTTAACTGCACAATTTGTTACCAGAGGTTAAAAGGAGTGAAGGAGCGATACTAGTCTGTGGTAATCCAATATAGATGGTACTATCACTGTGTTTTTTATCTATGCTTTTTCACTACAGTGGAACTCAGGTTCAGGAGCCAATGAGATGAAATAATTGTGGCGAGTCGGTAATAACTGAGAAAATGAGGAGGAATTGATCCTACTGACTTGGGTGTAGAAGGTGGCAGCCATGTTACTGGGTAAAACCTACGAGTATTGATGTCATGAACCTGGTTGGGAGTTGGGACAGACTTGGGAAAAACGAAAACACATGACGAATGCAGATCATGCTCTGGCGAGTTGCACTGGAGATGTATTCCTATGGCTGCTTTCACTCTCACATTCACAGCTGTCCTTGTAGGATGTTGATGTAATTAAAATTACCGCAACACCATCATTTAAAAAGACACAGGCACCCTTGACATTTGCCTTCATATTAACGTAAGAAAAAAAATTAGGAACCGAAAGTTAAGACCATCGTTTATATAACAAGTCAGTCCCCTGCCCAGCTTCAATCTTTTGGCATCACATAGAGCCGGTAGGGATAAGGACACGTTTCAAAGGATGTAGATGAAAGTAATATGAAATGATCAACCCCTACAGTTGCGACAAGGATTAGATGATAATATTGATAATCACTTGTGGTTTGTATAGACATAAAGTTAGCAAATAACAAGTTTGAACTGTTTTTAATATTCAAGTCCTGTTAAGTTACTTTACAGTGAGTTATTCGGGAAACATTTCTGGAGCTCTAGAACAGCAGTTACAGCACTACTGGCTAGGAATTACTTTTTCTAAGTACTGTGCAAATACACTCGATTCTTTTAAAGTTGTTTGATGGATCTAATAGCCTGTAAAGTTCAGGAATGGTGGGCATGGTTGCGCTTCGTCTGCCTGGTAAAATTGGTGGAAAATCATTTTCAATCTCAACTATAAAGTAGACCCCATACTGTAGTTGAGATGGTCACTAGGTAGGCATCACTTCGATTACAGGGTACGTTGTGGGATCAAACCTGCGTTGTTGTATGTTCTTTATGGTAAGATCGTGGTTCTATCCCTACTCCTAATTTTCAGAAATGTAGTTTATAATTAGCGGGGATTGCACGCGGGGATCTCTGCAATGTATAGGATTTGTTAAGTTAGAGATAAATAATCAAAATATGTAAGAGTATATAATTGCTTTATATAATAATTAATAATTATTTATATTTTATATATTGTTTTTAATACTTTTTTTATAATATAAAAAAAACAATAATTAATTTTAGATAGAGTTGTTTAACAAACTTAGGGATGACAATTTTCCCCATTTCTCCAATACTCGTGGGGATCCACCTGAATGGGGCAGAGATGGGGATGATTTTCCCATTGCGGGGATAGAGATGGAAAAATTTTCATTCCTATTGGTGAGGACGGCACGGAGATGAGGAGAGCACTCCTTGCCCCCTATTCCATGGGATTCCCGCTAATATATGTATATATATGCACACGTTTATGTATGTATATATATGTATACATACGTCTATCCCTTTTCCTTATTTCCTATAATATAATTTATAATACTAGAAAAAATGACAAATTTCTTAAACTACCATTATGGTTTCACTAATTGACTAATTCACCCTTACTGCTTACATATTGTCTTAAAGTACTTCGATTGTTTCGAACAATTATCTAAAACCCCCCTTACTATTAATTTTTCACATGTGACATCTCGTGGCTGATACATTTTTGAATATTCCTAAAATACCCTTTGCAATGGTTTTGCCGTTTCCGTCTCATCCCTCACCCCGTTGTGATCATCTCCGATTTCTTTTTGGGGCGGACTCACCATCTAACATGTTATATTGTTAGCTCGGCATCCCTATTGCATTGTCTTCTCTACTTCCGGGGCTGTCAACTTATTAGTGACCAAATTGCCTATGGCGTGACGTACCCAAGAGAGATGACCCCGACGGTCCCAACTTCCTCGCTTCATTCCCCAAAGTTCCAAACTCCCCGACAACCCCTGGTGGTGGCTTTCCCCCATCTATCATACCTATGTTCAAGGCGACCCAGGTTTGGAATTCATAAGAGATGGCTTTCTAGCCAATTTGGCCAGCTAGGGAATCAATTTTCAATTTGATCAGCGAGTTAGAGGGCACCTAATCACATTAGAGAGGAGTTAGGCCACCATTGGATTTGGGTCCTGATGTAGTAGGCACATTAGGTAAGCACAATGAGTGAGCACTTAATAACTGTGTGACACCTGTCCCAGTTAATGTGTTTTTCATCTAAACGTTTTTGTTTCGTTAGAATTAATAAGTAATAAATGAAAAAGGGGAAATCGTAGAGGAGAAGAGGCGTATCTGAATCAAAATTTTGGCCTGAGCAACGATGTTGCAAAAGACTTTTAATCCGATCTGATATGGGATTGTTAGCACTCGATTGGTGATGACTTTCTTGGATTTCGGTTAGGATAGCCACCAGTTCAAACACCAGAGTTCACAGAGTAGGAGCTTGATTGATGATTAGAATGACAGAGCAACGGTAGTGGGGTGATAAGAAGGAAAACTAGGGAAGTAAATGGGATCTGAAGAGGTTGGGTTTTTGTTAAAATCGAATGGGGAATCTAAGAAGGATTGCATCGCCATAAGTCATCTGTTCTTGTCGATGGGGAACAGTGAACATGGAGAACTATGACTGTAGCTCATGGGAGGAGGAGGAAAAGGAAAGAAAAAAAAAATAGAAAAGATAAGGGAAGAAAAGAATGAGGGAAAGAGATGGAGAGGATGAGAGAAGAGGGATCATCGGGGAGAAGCTAAAGGTAGCCACCGCTAGTTCGCCTTCGGAGGGAGAAGACAATGAACAGTAGAAGAAAAAAATAATAAAATAATAGATAATTCTTGTTTAACGGAACAAAAACGTTTAGATGAAAAGCACATTAGTTGGGATACGTGTCACACAGCTATTAGGTGCTCACTCATTGTGCTTACCTAACGTGCCTACTACATCTGGACCCATCGGATTTGGGCAGTGGGGCCACTCCCTCCTAATGACACTTCATCGACTGAAATTGGTGGATCCGAATCCAACTCCGTTGCAGTAGGGACATGGTGACTTGGGTGGATAGATGTGAGGACCATACTATGGTTTGCATGTGCTTTGGGAGTCAATTTGTGTTGAGTAATGAGCATAGGTGTGGCAATTTTCCCCGTCCCTGATGGGTACCCGGGCTCCCCAACCCAACGGGGATGGGGATGGGGGGTACTTTGGCGGGGTCAGGGTCGGGGATGGGGAATGCAATCCCCGTCCTGACCCGCCCCCAATTAATAAATATATAATATTATTTATTAGTTATTATTCATTTATTTTTAAAGATTAAAACTTAAAAAACACAAACACTCATAGTTGACAGACAAAGAACTTTGAAGTCTAAAGTGAACTGTGAACCCTAGTCTTCTTCTTCCTTTGTCTTTGTCGCTATTTCACCGACCACCGTCGTTGTCGCCACTCGCCCGTCAGACATCGGACATCGCCGGACGTCTGTCGCCACTTTAGTTCTTCTTTTGGGTACGACAACATGGAGTTGAAGAAGGAGAAGCTTGTGAGGTAATTAGGGTTTCTGCTTTATTCTCTTTCTAAATTTCATTTTCGATTTAATCTTGGCAACTTTCTGGTATTTTGTATAATGGGTATCAAACTTTTTAGGTTTTATTCTGATGTAAAACAACAACTCCCTGAATTCGTATGGAAAAAGGCGACTCCCAACGCCTTGAAAAGCCATCTCCAATTTACAAGGTTTCAGCTCTTTTGCTGAGAAGCCATCAATTTTCTCGGGGATGCGGGTCTCCGACGAGGAATTCATCCCCGTTGGGGTTGGGGATGGAGGGGGATTTCTTTCTCTGATGGGAATTGGGGATGGGGATGGGGGGTCATTTGGGAGTCGGTGTTGGAGATGGAAGGTAAGTGGCTATTAGTTTGTGTGTTGCGTCAGGGAGGCCACCGGCGACACCATATGTCATCTATGGGGCACGTTTTGGTGTGGATGAGGCGAGATCTGGTGCTACTGGTGTAAGTCGAGGAGTCGAAGATGACATTACGATGATCCATCACCTTCCCATAGACTTCCTTCTGCAAGTGTTTGGGAAAAAAATAATATGGGGCATTGCCATTCCAAATTTGACAAGAAAATAGCAAAGGATAACAGAAGACCCTAAAAATGTAAAAATCAAAATAATAAAATGAACACTTGAGAAGA